ATATTCATTCTAATAATTGATATTTCTAGCAAGTAGTAATTCTGATATTGTTGAATTCTGAATTTTTAAAATAGGATGAAAAGCACTTAGGCAATTTTTTTTTCATTTGCACACAGTATGTTGTGATGCCTGTAGTTATGATTTTAGTTTTACAAATTACCCAGCTATCTCATGTAATTTGGAGAAAGAATAATGAAAAACAGGTATTTCCTTTGGGATACTTAATTTTAAATCTAAATATTGCCTGGCAACAATTCTTACTTAATAATCTACTCTGATGATCTGATTCAAAGTGAGGGGATTTGACTTTGCCACTATCCTCCATTACTGTCTACTCTGGGAATGAGCAACATCATTATATACTGATGCAAAGAAATCATAGGATTCTCCTGCATGGTTAAGTTTGTCTACTTTCCCTAGAAATGCAATTAATCTTGCCTAAAAAGTCTTGCCTGGATTAGTTTTAAAAGAAGAATCTATATTCATCAAGATATTGAAACGAAGGTACAATCCATAACAGAGAATGGATTTGAAAATTAAGTTAGAAACAACCAGAAGTGAGAAAATGAGAGAGTTGACCTAGAAGAGCAAATAATGATGTTGTAGGAAAAAGTGAAAGGAAACTAAGCTCATGGCATATATACTATTGGGGGAAAATTAATGAAAGCTTGCAGTTAAAAGGTTACCATTTGAGTCAACACTGTTTTGAACTAAGGTAACAATGGAAAAAACAGAAGAGATGTGAGAAATATTTTGGAGTTGGAGTCAGCAAGTTTTGCAAGCAGGCAATTTTAAGGGGAAAGTGAAAGAATATCGTGGAATTTCAATCCTGGATTGCTAGAGAATAGTGATGTCATAAAAAGGAACAAGGAATGAGAGAAAAAAAGGCTGATTTTGAGGGAATAGGTAAAAATGAAATAAATGACTCCTTATGGTCACTTAGCATAAAAGTTACAGGTAATGTGCCAACGCACTTTGGAGATTAGGTCAATATTTTGCATCTGTAATTTTTTAAGTTTTTGTATGTACGTATTTTTTAAGTTTTTGTTTTATTAGCCAAGGAAGAAAAATGCTGTAGATAAATTATCAGTTTATATTGGAAACAAATCAATGTCTGTAAGGGTATCTACATGCTCTGGTCCCATTTCAACTAACAGAAGAAAAAAAAAAACTGGTAATCGTCAAGAGCAATATTTTTATTGAAAGCCGAATTTTTATTTTTATTTTCATCTTATGGCAAGATGCCACCAAATTCCTTTAAGAAACCTACAGTTTCAACAGGCTCTGTGGTTTCAACCCAGTGTTTCTTTTGTTACGAAGCCAACATTAAAACCACACAGTTCAGGCAGTTTTTAAAATTCCCTATTTTTCTCCAAAACTTGAAACAGAAAATCGGGACTAATGGTCTGTAACTGATACTTCACATCTCTGCCTCTGGGTCTGGCCACTCTTCTCTCTCTCCTTTGGAACCACCAGTGAGTGATGTGAGTAGCAAGATAACTGGAGTAGCAACAGTATCCCTTGTGTTCCCTTTCTATATTCTTTTATGGTCTTCTCTGCCCCTCGGGTCATGGTGATGCTCCCTAAGCTCAAAGTGGGGGGCGATTTGGGAAAAGCCCTGGGCACTGAAATCACACATACTTAGGTGAAACTCTCGTTCTTTCCCTCAACTATGTATTTTCATCTTTCCATTTAATTTTTCCCATCTATAAAGTAGAATATGTATTCTCTTCCTTGTGAGGTTAGTCTATTTGATGAGTGGTATGATAGTGGTTAACAGTGTGGTCCTAAGAAGCAGACATAATTTGTCACTTTTTCGCTAGGTAGCCTTGGGCAAGTTGTCCCCCTCTCAGCTTGCTCCATAAAATTGGGATAACAAAGATATCAATCCTATCCAACATTTAAGATATCTTCACTGGCAATAGACTAGACATTATTCTAGACTCAAAAGGTTAGAGGATTGGGGCACCTAAGTGGCTTAGTCAGTTAAGTGACCCAGTCTTGATTTAGGCTCAGGTCATGATTTCAGGGTTGTGAGATTGAGCCCCACGTGGGGATCCATGCTGGATCCTGCTTAAGATTCTCTCTCTCTCCCTCCCCATCTGCCCCTCTGCCCAGCCATTTGCAGGTGCATGTGTATGCATGTGTGCACTCTCTCTCTAAAAAAATAAAAATAAAATAAAATAAAATAAAATATTAGAGGATTATATAAGATGGTACATATGAGTGGTAAATGGCATTAATGTACCGTTTATATGTACCTTAATATCTAATAAGGACCTTCTGTATTCCCTACTCCTGTCAAGCTTCTTGTCTGTTAAGAATGCTTCCCTACCCCTTGTTAGGCTTGATCACATGACTTGTTCTGACCAACTGACATGAGCAGACATACACATACCATGTCCCCACAGAAGCTTTAAGTGTGCTTTCTTTTTCCACCCTGCTACTTGACAACAGAATATGTCAGGTAAGACCTTCGTCCTTTAGCTTTGGTCCCACATAAACAGGAAAGAAGGAACAGAAATACACAGCTTGAAGCTCTATAGAATTAAAAAGAGCTATGGACAAGAAACACGTACTTTTGCCATTATTGTTCTCTGCCCACCCACATGCTTGAGAGCAAGAAATAAATGCTTGAATTTATAAGCCACTGAGGTTTGGCTTTCAACAAAAGCTAGCCTATGACGGTGTCCTGCATATAAAAATAATACTTGAGCAATAATAATAAACTAAAATATATATCAAAAGTATATAAAACACTTCAAAAGATACAGGCATCTCTCCATCTATGTACCCATTTATCCAACAAATGTTAATATTGAGTAATATTATGTGCCAGATACCATTTAAGCTCCTGGAGATAAGACAGTGATCAGATAAAATCCCCGGTTGCCAGCAGCTAACATTATTGTTGGGGAAAACAGAAATAGAACCATAAGGGTGACAGGCGTTGTAGAGAAAAATAACACAGGGGAAGGAGAAAGAAAATGTCAACAAAGAGACTCTGTGTGTGCGTGTGTGTGTGTGTGTGTGTGTGTGTGTGTGTAGTGTTCAGAGAAGTCTCTACTACTGAAAAAAATTTAGAGCAGATCAGAAAGAAGTAAGAAAGGGAGTCAAGTGCCTATCTAAGGGAAGCACATGTCGGGATGAGGGACAAGAAGGTGTAGAAGCCCTGAGGCATAAGTGGGTTGGAGTATTTAAGGATTAGCTGAGAGGCCTTGTAGTTAAGAGAAGTCAAGTAGAGGCCCAGGCGTCGCAGGTGAAGTCCGGGAGGTACGAGGGCACCAGGCATGCGTGCCTTGGAAGTTACTGTAGAATTGGCTTTTGCTCTCAGTGAAAGAGGATATCATAGGAAGACTCTGATGATAGGAAGACATGATCTTTTATCTAAGTTTGAAAAAGATCATTCTGCCCGCTGTTCGAGAACAGATTATATTCTCAAGTGTAGAAGCGGAGATCATTTAAAAGGCAACTATAATAATCCATGCAGACACAGTGGTGGCTTGGACCAAAGTAGTTGACTCTGGATATATCTGCAGCTAGTGGCAACCCAGATTTGTTCATGAAAAATACACAAATAGAAATAAACTGTCATTTATGAGATAGGCAGGCACAGAAGAATGGCAAGATCAGAAGGACAATTAGTAACCAAGAATTCACTTTCAGCCAGCAAGAGATAAGGGTAAACTTGTTGAATTCTGATTTCCTTATTGCTGGCCTTGTCCAGAGAGAGATTTGGTTTTCTGCAGAGTTCTTTGGAAACCACTACACAGAGTGGTTAAGGGAATTAATCCTGCCAGGATGACGAGGTGGAAGATGAGAGCTGAGTCTCATAACTACAATGAACAGAACTGGAGTCCAGCCCTGAATATGTCCAGGGAGGGGCTGGTGCTCTTCTGACCAGTAACACTACAGTGATGGGGTGAGGCTGGAGGTTAAGTTTCCAGCACTTGAGAGTGCTCTCTAGATGGATTATTGCAATTGATTTTTTTTTTTAAGATTTTATTTATTTATTTGACAGAGAGAGACACAGAGAGAAAGGGAACACAAGCACGGGAGTGGGAGAGGGAGAAGCAGGCTCCCCACTGAGCAGGGAGCCTGATGCGGGGCTCGATGTGGGGCTTGATCCCAGTACCCTGGGATCATAACCTGAGCCGATGGCAGACACTTAAGGACTGAGCCACCCAGGTGCCCCGGCAATTGATTTTTAAATTACTCTGCCTCTGATCTCTTCAGGAAGGAAGCTGTGCTCCCCCCTTGCTGTGCAATTTAAGAGCCTCCAGCCTCAGAGCCCAAGAGCTTGATAACCAGTCCTATTAGATTGCTACGTACTGCCTGGAAGGCACTTTGCCTGGGGTGTTTGTTTTAGTTTTATTTTAGTTTACTGTAGGCTTGTTTTAGGTTATTTCCCTTCATTATCTCTGAGATGTCTACCAGACATCTAAGTTGAGATGTTCATTAGGTAGTTAATACCTACGTCTGGATTTCAGGGTAAAGGTTGAGAATGCAAATATAAATCTGGAAAATATATATTTGTTTTTTTTTTTTAATAAAAGAAATGTGTAACAAAGAGAAGAAATAGTTGATAACAATCCTTAGGAATATTTAGTGTTGCCTGACAGGAAAACATCTCTGAAGGTAATGGAAGTAGATTAATACACTCTCCAAAACAATGTAATTATAAGGCGACCAATTTGGTTATTATAACCTCTCAAATATAATGGAATTATGGTTTAATTTCAGACATGATTTCCTAATATTTTCCACATGATGAGACAGAAGCACAGCTGATTCAAACCTCTCTACTATGTTTGCAAAGATATTAAGACTAATTACTAGCAAAGATGCAAAATAATCTTTCCCAGGGTTAATATACTAGTAGAATAGAAGTAAGGGTATTTTTAGAATATTGTGGAAATGAAATATTGATTTTCTCAACAGCTGTTTTTTTCGAGTAAACAGGTTTGAAAATACTCATATATTAAAATATTCTTCCTTACCAGGGTAGAGGGCACAGCCCATGAATGACAAATCATCGATTGCAATGTCTCCAGTAAAGCCATCTCCTACTGAAGCCTCCACCAAAATCTAAGAAAAATACAAGAAATCTGTTGATACTGTGAAGGACATTAATTTATGGAAACTCGCGGTAGAAAAAAAAAATCAGAATTTATTTAAAGAGAAATGTCTTCTGAACCATTAAAAAAAAACCTTTCCAGTTGTGTCCGAAAATAGGCATCTTATCGCTACCTAGATAATTCCAGTAACAGGAAGCTCCATTCCTTAGTGGGCCCATTACAACCACGAAGCCCGTTGTGTTTCTAGTGATTTTCCAAAACTGTAATAGATCAGATTTATATCTACTTCCCTATAACTTTCCTTTAGTTCTAGACTCACCCCATTTTTTTCTTTCCTGATCCTTTGAGTATCTGAAGGCAAATCATCATCTCTTTTTCCCACATTTGCCCAAGGAGTTCATCTGTTTCTAAGGTTAAACCCCCTCACTGTTCAAGAAATTCAATTTGTGGGCAGAGGTACTTGCCAGAATGCACATTTTTAAGAGCTTTAGAATTTTTCTCACACTGACCTTATTCTGTAACACTTTATGAAACTGGCTAATCGTTATTAGATCTCCTTCAGAACTGCATTAATCACAGCAAATTCTGATGACATCTGTGCGGTTCCACGAGCAGCAATTCCACCAAACCTCCAGGAAAACATGAAATACTGACAAACCACTACAGTATATGGCAGATTGTGATTAGGCCTGAAATTTACTGTAATAGAATTAATCATGATAAATTATTTTAATACTTATGCAAATACACTGCATACTGAATAGGAATCCTGCTATAATTTAATAATGAAGAACTTCAAGCAAACTCGAAAAACACATTCTGTTTTCCCACTATTATATGAATATAGGTTTCTGTTGCATTTTTCCTCACAAATGCTATATGGGGGAGTTGAAATTTTATTTCATTTTTTTTTTAATTCTTAGCTTCTATTCAAACTTGTCTCACACATTATTTATGGATGTCTTAGTTGGAGGGAAGTTTTAAAAAGATCAAATTCCTGACCTCAAATCTCTTGACATCCTCCCTGACTTCCTAGTCTTTCTTGAGAACTACCAGAGCCTTCTCCATAATTTGTCAGTAAGGACATTAATCAATGTGGGAAAGGTTTATGTATCTAACCAATGGGCGAATGTAACCCACCTAATATTGCCAGAGGAACATTTAGGTACCAGTACTATGCAGGACGTGTCCTAGTGCTTTATAATGGATCGCTCCAAATATAAAATGCACCCTTCGTTTCTGCACTATCATGAATGAAAGAAATATTATAGGCAGTGAAAACAAAAATGCAGAAAGAATACTCAGTAGAAAATCATATAATTATTCTAATAAACAAAAAACCAGCAGTCAGAATTTGGCAGAACATACTGAAAGAAAATATTTTTTTTGTTCTATTAAAACAAAAAAAGACTGCAGCTGGGCAATCAAGAGGGAAAAGACATACACAAAGATTATTAATTAATTCCCTGGATCAATAGGTCTATCCCACTGCAGTACAACACAGGACATGCTAACAAAGGCTGAGAAGATGTAAGAAAAAGGAAAAATTAGGGAAAATAAGAAGAAACAGTACTAACTTTGCTGCACTGCTCATGATCATATTAGTTTATGAACGAGGAGGGATAGAAAATGATATCAAAATCCCAAAGTTTATGAAAAGCACAGTTCTTGTGCATGTAAATATCTGCAAGCTAACTTTGGGGACATATACATACATAGCTCCACTTGAGAGTGTGGGCCCAACTGTTTCAGAGTATTCCTTTTGTTGTCGTTATGTAATCACAAATCTAAGAAATGGCCATTTGTGAAAATGATGCATTTTCTTGTGGGCCACACCAGGTAAGCAGCACCTCTGAGTGGATTCTGTTTGCAACAGCTTGTTTCTATTGGAGTTCACTGCATATTACACGAGAAGCTTTTTCATAGTGCTTGTATCAGCATTAGGTGCCAAGAAGAAGACAAAAAAATAATCTGAGGCAGAAGACAGTTGGGTCTTGTGTTAAGACACAATGTAATCATAATTTTTACCAAAATCAATTCAATTCCCTAACCCTCTAAATGTTAACATTGTTGAGAATAAACGATAGCTTCAAGTTGAAATACTAAAAATGTTAGTTTGTATGTATATCTGTAGTCTCAGCTTCTTTCAAATATTTAATTAGCCAGCCATTAAAAAAAAAAAAAAAACCTACCTGATAACAAATCACATCTTGAGAAAAAGTTATGAATGTTCAGGTTTAATTCTACATTTGCCTTTGCCCTATATTTAAATGTGGTCTTGCAAAAAGCTTTCCATGTTAGCCTGATAAACTAGTCCTAAGAAAAAAGTCACACACACAAAAAAAGAACAAACCCAAGCATCCCTATTCCTGGAAAATTCACTTTCATTTCTGATGTTTTTCCCCAGAAAAAAATGGGAGGATGTTAAAACACAAACATTACTGTATGCAGGGCAGTATTGCCATTCTAGAAATTAGAGAAGCCACATTTTATTCTTAAGTGCCATTAGTACCTTACTGAATTACTTAAAGGGCAACTGGAAATTCCTGTTTGGTCTAAATGACCTGCATTATCTATAGAGGCCAATTCTACCTACATTAGAACTATCACTGGCTTGGAAATTTTGTAAAGTAAGCCAGTGCTTCTAAGTTGTTCTTTTCATGAGCTGCCACATCTAGATGCTCCAACTAAAGATAGAGTAGCCTTGTAAACTACATTGCAACTTTTAGTTCTAATATAACCAAAGACTCAACTATTAATAAGGGTCTCAAGACTTGCCTGAACTCATTTGTCTCTATATTTAGGGAGTTCTGAATTATTGGCCAAGCATTTTAATTAATCTGGAAACTCCCATTATCGTATATATGTAAGACACAATTTAATCATAATTTCACTAAAATAGCTTCAATTTCCTAACATATATATGTATATATGTGTGAATTAACTCATAGTAAAGAAAAAAAATGGTATTAACTCAACCTGCCACTTACTACTTTAAACATCCCATGTTTGTAAAAGAATACAAAATTCAAACACAATATATCGATTTTTAATATAATGCATCTTCAGAAAGATTTGAAATGACTTCTTCTTAAGATTAAAAAAAAACAAAACTAAAAAACCTATACTCAATGTGGAGTAGCTACGACTCCAATGAATTGCTGATGGGAATCTAAAATGGTGCAGCCACTTTGGAAAATGGTTTGGCAGTTTCTTATAAAATTAAACATAGGGATATTTTGGAAAGATGGCGGAGGAGTAGGAGACCTGGATTTCGTCTGATCTCAGGAATTCAGCTGGATAGGGATCAAACCATTCTGAACACCTACAAACTCAACAGGAGACTGAAGAAAAGAAGAGCAGCAACTCTCTCATCAGAAAAGCAACCACTTTCTGGAAGGTAGGACGTGTGGAGAAGTAAATCCAAGGTGATAATCGGGAGGATAGACAGCGGGGGAGGGGGCCTCCACCAGCCACTTCTGGCAAGTGATAGAGCCACGGACCACAAAATCGGAAATTTTAGAAGTCTGCTCCCCTGAGGGAGTCACTCCAGTGGCTAAGCGGGGGGTGGAACCCTCGCGGGACAGCGTGGTCTCAGGACCCTCAGGGTCACAGGAAGACCAGGGGTGCCTGAGTGCAGCAGAGCTCCCAGGTATCGTAACAGGGAAGCCAGCTGCAGACACGGAGCAGAGGCGTGGGTTCTCAGCTCAGGGTTGCATTAACTGTGATCCGTGGCACAGTTGGGCCACTGCTCCTCCAGCAGGGACCCAACAAGGGGCAGATCCGGGGAGACTCCCCTTCCTCCCCTGGGAGGAGCGGCACAGGAGCGCACCACAGGGATCTGCTGGGTTTGGAGACTCCACATGGGGTCGGGTCCCAGAGAAAGAAACGCTCGGTCACAGGCCGGGTGAGCATGGAATGCGGCCGGAGACCAGGGAGACGGGAGTGACTGACTGCATTTCTCTGGGAGCTCACTGAGGAGTGGGGCCCCGAGTTCTCGGCTCCTCCAGGAGATTGGGAGGTTGCCATTTTCACTCTCGGCCTCCAAAGCTGTATGGAAAGCTTGCAGGGAACAAAAGCTCCTGAGAGCAAACCGGAGCAGATTACTTAGCCCGGACTGGTAAGGGCGGGGCAATTCCGCCTCCGGAAAAGATGTTTGGGAACCACGGCAACAGGCCCCTCCCCGAGAAGATCAGCAAGAACAGCCAGCCGAGACCAAGTTTACCGATCAATGAGAACGGCAGAACTCCAGCGCTAAGGGAATAATGCACAGAGAATCCATGGCTTTTTTCCCAAGATTCTTTAGTCTTGCAAAGTTTTTTTTTTTAATTTTTCTTTTTCCCTTTTTCAACCAACATCTTATCAATTCCTTTTTTAAAAAAAAAATTTATTTTTCATTTTTAGAGTCATATTCTATCCCTTCATAGTAGTTACCCTTATTTTTGGCATATATATATAAGTTGTTCACTCTTTAAAATTTTGAGATAGTTTCTTCTAACAGATCAAAATATACCCTAAATCTCTAGTGTATGGTTTTGTTCTACTCTCCTGCCTGATCACATTCTCTCCCTTTATTTTTTCTTTTTTTTTAAATCCTGTTCTTTTTCAAACAACTTAAATTTTTTATACTTTTCATCTTTACAATCATATTCCATCCCTTCATCATATCAACCCTTATTTTTGTACATATATAAGTTTTTCTTTCTTTAAAATTTAGGGAGGCACTTTCTTCTAACAGACCAAAATACACCAAAAATCTAGTGTGTGGCACTGATCTATATACCAGCCTGATCATATTTGATCACATTCTGTTTTTTTCTGTTTTGTTCTGTTTTTGTTTTTATCTTTTTTTCTTTCCCTTTTTTTCTCTCTTTCCCTTTCTTTTCCCTGGGCTTCAGGTCTTTTCTGATTTGTTTAGAGTATATATTCTGGGGATGTTGTTACCCTGTTAGCATTTGTTCTCTCATTCGTCTATTCTCCTCTGGACAAAATGACAAGACAGAAAAAATC